TTTTAAGAAGCCATGGGTCAACCCAATCCAACACTAATATAAGTCACTCCATTTTGAAAATCCCTTACAATTATTAGCTTACTGCAGCATCAAATGCCGGCTGAATCGAGACCCAGAACATCCGTGCCCTCCAGCCCACTGCCCTTCCCTTGCGAAGGAGTGAAACAGATGTTGGAGCAGCAAGGGCTGCTCGAGCAGGCAGATGCATCATCCTGTGTCCCCATGTGCCCCACTCACCACTTCTGCTCCCCAGCATGTGGCAAAAAGTCAGACTCACCTCTCCTCGTGCACATCCATGGTCAGGTGTGGTCATCGCCATGCTAGTGAACCCCAGCACTGGAGCCATGAAACCTTGGTTTAGCAGAGTGGGCAAATAGTCTACTGATGAATGAAAGTAATTAGTGTACCTATTTACAGCTGAAAAAATGAACAGGCCAAAACTTGAAGTGTCATATGTTTTTTCTCAGTGTTACAGCTGCCTACTTACTGAGGGGCTTGGCATTTTTTTTTTTCATATAAAATGAAAATTGCCTGGAACACCAAACAGATGTTTCTAGTGCATTTCTTACTACCTCCCACACACATGTACCCGGTTTAGTAAGAAGTGCCATTGAATATTTTCACTGAATGTTCTAACCTCAGTTCCAAAAGAATTAAACCTGAAAAAATATTTACTCTAATTGTGAATAATTGGCACAGTTTTAGAAGCTCACTGTAAATGCACATCAGAACTCTTTTATGAACCACATTTTTAAAAACCTCATAAACCCCCCTCCAACAGGATCCGAATGACCCGGTCAGTTTAATTCAACTCAGAGTTACAGCTTTGTTACTTTTGTCCAGTCATTGCATATAACTGAGAAATACTTCCTGTACAAATAAAAAGATTTTCCAGTCCAAAATACTCAAACAGCTTTTAAATTATTTCATCCAGCATTGTAACCTAGATTCCAAATGAATGAAACCTGAAAAAATATTTACTCCAATTATGCACAACCGACACACTCTTTTTGGTTGCGCTTAGTAGTTGAATGTAAATGCACATCTGAAATCGTTTCCTCAACCAGATTTTTCTGGTAAACCACATCAGCTCCGATTAATTTTGTAAATAAATATAAATCCATCAATATGGGTCAACAAGGATTCAAAACTACGTTTCCATTTATGGTAAAAAATAACTCGCAAGGACCAAGAAATAAGTATTTAATTTCTGTAGAGGTATGTTACTTCTAGTTAGACCTAGTCATGGCTCTATGTTTCATTTCAACTGCTGACACTGTATCTCTTGTAGCATCTCCAAAATTGAACACCAGCCTTGTTGGAAGGTGAAACAGGATTTCAAACTTGCTTCTTAGAGATGCAGTAAGTTCCGAGGGTTCCAGATAATCTATTAATATCAGACTGGCTCCTGTTGTTGCTGCCAAAGGGCTTGTGGATAAACCAGTACGGCAATAAGCAGAAAGGAACGTGTCTGGAAGGGAGGACACACTCCTTTCCTCTAGATGAGAATAATAAGACCAAAACTCCGAGGTACCTTAAATATGTCAGACGGTCTATGTTACAGACAGAAGGTTAAAGGATGCATCAGAGTGATCAAGAGATACCCCAAACAGACCAACACCCTAAGTATTTTGAGTCCTTCAGGTTAGTGTGATAAAAACTTCAGTTTGTAGGTACTCAGAGCACATCAGTATTTATCCTCTGAGCAAGCTAATCAGAAAGCTAATCATTTGCTCGCAAAAAACCTGTGAATAAAGTGAATAGATACTTGCAAGGTCTGACTTGCCAGAATAGCTCATTCAGCAGTCAGAGCAAAGGCAAAACAGTGCAGTAGTACACAACCACAAGCTGATTGACTCCAACTTCTTGGCGGGGAAAAAAGCTTTTTCCCCACTTGTCTTATTTTATTATGCAGTAATTCAGTACAAATATTCACTACAATCAGACATACTAATTCTTCTTAAACAGTATTTTGAGATTTAAAACCAGCTTGTTTATCGTTCTAAACTGAAACTGTCTTAGTGTCAGATTATGATTTCATTAAAGTTCCTAAACAAGGAAATATGTGGTCTGTTGTAAAAATAAACATGCCCTGTGGTTCCATTTCTCTCCTGCTAGGACAAAAATCAGAAGAATAATTTTGTTATCTTTTGTTAGTGCTGGAAGAATTTTCATCACATCTCTGAACCACCTAATTCTACACTGAACCACGAGACATTTTCTAAATAAACGGTCATGAAGGTCACATTCTCCTTTGGTCTGGCATTTAGATATAAGATAAAAGGACAGAGTCAGACTTTCTGTAAGATTTGTAGGCAAAGGAGTTGTGTAAATTTAATTGCAAGAAGATTTTCATCTGCGAGACTCAATGGAATTTGTGTTGGAACACATTCCTCCTGACTCTATAAATGTAAATTAAAAATTACATCCATGTCTATGTCACAGCAATACAAAATTCGAGTAAGAGTGGATGGAGGTCTGAATTATGTATACAATACCTAAGTGTTGAGTTAAACTTTTAAAGAGACAAAGTAATCTCTTAAAAGATTGACAATATTTCAATTACCATGCTTTTGAATACATGATATTTTGATAATTCTACAGAAGTCTGTATCTCAAAGATGTAAAACCTGTGTGAATCTGAATCTCTTCATCAGATGACTGAAATAGTTATTTTGTTTTGAAATGTATCTCTTAAATTCCTCCTTTCCAAAGCTGCTAAAAGACATTAAGATCAAGAACATATTTAGGAGAAGCAAATAAATATTAGTAAATTAAATGTTCCCACATTTCAATTTGGGTTTGGATACTTAAGCAATGTGAAGAAAAACTGTCATAGATGTATGCTTAATATGTCAGTGTAATCTACTGGATCATTTTAACCAAGCACAAAACAGGGGTCATAATTGACACACATGAATATATGAACCCAAATAAATTGAATCCTTCAACATCTAATAGTTAAACCAAACAGAAAAAAATGTTATGTTGCTTAAGATTGATGTAATGGAAGATGAAGAATGATGGTTAAACAAGCAATAACTCAGTATATAAAGTTATATGACATTTAAACAGGCAGAGTTAGTGTACCCCTACAGCTGTTAGATTTCTAAGACCAGTGCAAGAGATGATCCACAGTATTCAAAAATCTGTGTATGATACGTGTCGAGCTATTTGATTGTGAACTTCCATCAGAAGTTTAATGAACTCTTAATAAGACATAAACACATTTTGCTGTTTTCAGCATTTCTCCTCCTGACAAAACGTAATCCCATTTAAACTTTCAACATTGTATTTGTCCCATTAGCCATTAACTCTAGCAAAGATCTCAGGAAATGAGCTGAATTGATGTATCTGAAACTGTCCTACTCTGGCCTTTTCTGAGACTACTTGTTGGTTTAAAGTACAATGTGCCAGCACCCAAAAGACCCAGAGTGCTGAAATAATGCCAGGAAGAACAGTTTTAATGGGTTTTTTAAGTGAAAAACAAGCCAAAGAACATACAGCGATTCTGAAGTATACTTCTCAGAACTCACATCACCGAGGCAACATATAAATTCTGCACTAATCACAACTTCCTGCAGGCTAGTTAGCCTCAAGTTGAGTTTACAGCAGTAAAGCAGCTGTAGGTGAAAATGGGCCACGAGGAGAATGTTCAGTCCAATTTCTGCTGGAGGAATGTCTATAATAACAAATGTCCCATCACAACAGAAATATTTGTCAGGAAGCTCTTTAAAACAGCTAGTTGTATTAAATACAATAGGAACAGTAAAGAAAGTGTGAGAAATGCTTCGTTCTTCCTGGACTTCACACTTATGATTAATGCTGTAAGTAAATTGCTTCAATCGAATGCTATTCTTTAGTATCTCAACCTTCAACAGACTCAGACAGCAAAAGTGAGAATATATCAGCTTCCGAAGAATATTGTGTTCTTCATGAAGGCCAGCCAAGTTAGACTGAGGCAGGATACAAATTCTCTGGTTTGGCAAGGAGGTATATGTCAAGAATAGCTGTTATGTAAGAGCTGACTTTATGGTTTACTTCATTTGATATATTTGAATTGAGTAAATGGACTGGAAAGGACTTCCTAGTTTATTATCCTACCTATGACAGTAATCGCTAGAAGATGTTTAGGGAAAGGATAAATAAACAATGAAAATGTTTTTCAGGGCCCTGAGGGAACCAATAGGTCTTAATAGCCCTGAGCAGTCTCACCTGGGACGCACACCCATACTGTTGGTCAATGGCCCCAGCAGCCCCATTTAAGCTCACACTTAGGCTTAATCCTTGCCTGAGTTGTGTGGCAGGTGTACCTGTCTCTGTCCCTCTTGCCTGTTCTTCCTGACTGGAGCCTTAAATGGGTCCTGGACCTGCTTCATTACTTGCTTTATCTGGGATTGTTGGTAGATGTGGCTATCCAGTTCTGCTTGGATGCTGTGGGGCTGCACCCCACTGGTAAGGGTGCTGGGCCATGCCTGGCCCCTGGCTCCTTCTCTCCCGTGGAGCATTCCCACACGTGCTGTTGCTACTGCCTACCACCGTTGTAGCAGTGCCTCCTCGCTACCTTTCAGCACTTCTCCTTTGTAGGTTGCCTAAACTGGAGGACTGAACCCACATCACAGTGCATGTATCATTAATAGTGTTTTAACGACCTTCCTTGACCCTGTTTTTTAAAGGTGGTTATTTACAAAACACCTTAGACTCCTGGAACTATTGGAAAGGCATAAATCTGTTAAAGTGATAAAAGAAAAACTATCTACTAAGCATACAGAAAGAAATAATTACTAACATCAAACTTCCAGCAGGTATTACTTGTTACATTGATATGCTTTGCAATATGACAAAGCTGATAAAAAAACCCCAAAACTGGCTGATAAAAAAATGTATGGAGTATGAAGGAAAATATGTGTGTATACATAGTCTTGAATGTAGGTGGTTGGGCAGCATCTAATGCATCTAATGACACGAATATACATTTTCAGAGACTGCGTCTTAATCGCTCAATCTATATCAATCTCTCCAAATACACACTCAATGCTTTCCAGTGCATGTTTTCTATTAGATGATCCATGAACAGCATTGCACAAAATATCTCGTGCAAACTGAGCTCGAATTGATTCGGGAGAGGTCTCTTTTGCCACTTCAGGATCAGCTGGACCCATTAGTTGCCTCCACTCTTCCACAGCATTTTCCTTGGTTAAGATCATTACCACCGATGGACCCCTGTAAAATCAATATAAGGAAACTCTTATGCTATTCTGAGATGCAGATCTAATTTTGACTTTGGATGTACCATGAAGGGTTATGGTAAGTGTTAGACTATCTGAATTTTGTTAACCTGGTTCCATCTTAAAATTTGTTTCCGAGTGTTTTGTTGAAGGCAATGTCCTGTGTTCAAAAGTCAAAAAGACTATGATGATCAGCTATTTGGATTTGGTCTTTTAGTCCTAAAAAGATTCTCACTCAATAATTTCTGAAGCAAGACGATACATACTGTTTTATCCATAGCTATACTAACAATATTATGAGGAAGATATTTGTCCTACAGGGGAAGAACAAGGATTCCATAAGAAATTAGTTCTTTTTTTTTTTTTTTTTAGAAAAAATTCCAAAATAATAGTCACTACCCATAAGTTTGGAAAGAATTTTAAATCTTCCTTTTAAAGGAAGAGCAGTCCATGCTAGAAGCCACTAAACTTGCCAGAAAGAGTGACAGAATGTAAAATCCTTAGCCCACTTTGGGCATAGCATGTTTTGTTTGCACTGTAAATTCAAAGTTTGATGTATACTTACATACCTCAGTATTGTATAACATGACACTTACTCAGTCATACAAGTCACTAACTCTTCAAAAAAGGGTTTTCCTGAGTGATCCTTATAAAACTGTGTAGCCATTTCACGAGTCAAAGCTTCTTCTTTAATCTTTGAGATGGTAAATCCAGCATCTTTAACTTTTTGCATAATGTCATCTGGAAGAATAACAAGCAAACTCATTCTTAATTGAAATAGTCTAGATGCAAAAAAATTTAAAAGCTTAGATGCAAAAAACCACTCAAACTTCAAAAGCTTCAGGAAATACTGGATGCTTTTTAAAAACAAAAGTCACCAATGCCTATTAAAATTCTACTTACAGTATCAAACAATCATGGAAAATATGACAAACAATTCAATAGTCCTCTAAAATAGAAAGAAACTGTTGTCATTGCCCTAATCCATCTCTATGCAGGTGACAGTCCCAGGCTGTTATAAACTATACCAGTGGCAGTCGTTGCTGTTTCTCACATTGGACAGAACACGAACTGTAGTTGTAATGCTGCATCACACACCAGCTGGCCTGCTAAAATCAATCTGGATTGTTACAAGAAAGGAAGAAAGACTTAAAAAAGCCATTGATGAATTAACATCAGAAAGACTACTGAAATTTGTTAGGACAGAGAAGAAGAATGCCAAGAAGAGGGTCTAGATACAGGGTTTAAAAAAAAGTGGCAGCAAAAATCTTTAAGGTAAGATTCCAAATTATATATAGTGAAATTTTTACTTTGACCTTTCCTCCTCATTCCCTTTGTCTAATAGCAAGTTACACCAAGGATGGGAACGCATCTAACTGAGCAATGACCCCTTTTGAGTCAGTAGAGATACTTGTTTAAAGTAAGTAACATGAATTTGGAAAGCATCCCTCTCCTTTGTCTTAGAAGGATGCTGGATGGCTAGTTTGCACAAGTTCCTGGCTTTTAAACTTAGCTAAGAACTCTTTACTTTAATTCACCACCATTCTTGTGAAGAAAGAGCTATAGGCAGCTTTAAGCAAAGGAAATGTGACATTTGAGACCTCAATATGAGTTATGAAAGCCTTGTAAAAACATTTCTCTGTAAGGAAAAAAACATTTCAGAGAATAAAATGAATGCGTCTGACATGATTTACTGCAGTGTATATTGCTAATATTTTGTAGAAATTACATCTGTAGACATAGCCCAAACTTTCTAGACCACTTACCTTTATGCTTCTTAGCAGCATCAGGTTTGATTAACGCCAGTGTGTGCTCCTGAGGGAAGAAGAACTGTAATTCCTTCTGAGCATCATCGGGCGTAGAACTACCATGCAGCTGACCAATAGGTACATTGTTGACTGCATACTTTGCACGTAAACTAAGAGTTATTAAAAGAGTAAGTTACTTAAAGGAATAGCCATTTTGAGCTTCAACTATCACTAGCCTTAACCCAGTGAACATAAATTAATGTTGATCTGGCAACTTAAGGTCTTGATGATCTCTCTATAGGAGTAAGAAGCCTTCAGTATCTACAGAAAGAACAACCAGCTTTTTAATTAACCAGTCTAAATATGAACACCTTCCCTTCTATCTGTCATCTTCTTATATTTTCCAAGATAATAACAGTCCTTGCTTAATGAAACAACAGGTAAGATGATACTACAACAGCTTTTTAGAATGATAAAATAAGCAGGTAAAACTAAGGTGTTCATTTATAAAATGTGTAGAAGAAACTTAGTCACAAATAAAATATGCTACTGATAGAAAGTTTTAATTAAGCTAAGAAAATAAGCATATGCTCTAAAAAGTAATGATGCTATTTCAAGCAAAATAATCAATAAGTATGAGATATTACCAATATTGTTGCAGGCAAAAAATTAATAGCAATACTTCTGTAGAACTCAAAGCCTAAAAATTGCCATCCAAGGTCACAAAGATGCAACTTAATAGCCAAGTAACCTGTTCATACGGCTGTCAGAGCAGGATTATAAAAAGATTATTACCGGAGAATTCTTCCTGTGGTATGTGCTTCTGTCAGTCAAGGATTTTTCTCTGACTCAAAAGGTTTTCTTTTGCTTCTATACCCTTATAAAAATTCAACTTAAACTCAAAAAATGCTATAGTCACTGTGTGTAATACAACTGTTCCAAGAAAAGCTTAACAAATTGCAAAAATATCTATCAGTTTCCACATGATGGCACTATAGTTACACCAGTTGGAATGTGGTATTCATTTGGATGAGGAAAATGACAGTAAATTGGAAGCTGAGAATAATGGTTTACTCGTGTAAGTATTACCTGTTTGGATTTTCCTTCTGAGCCTCTTCAACAGTCTTTGGGCCTAATAGATCTCTCCAGTGTGCTATAGCATTTTCTCGTGTTAGAGCAAGTACTAGAGTTGGACCACTGTAAAATGGGAAAACTGGCATTAAAACCATCAAATAATAAGTTCTCTGTAATTACTAAAGGGAATTTGATTATATATAGGCCAGGCCAGGAAAATGAGCCCTAGTATTGTAGGATTTAAAAACCCGTCTCAGTTTAAACAGAAACAGTCTGATAAAACCTTAAGGGGCTTAAACACAAATTTAAATTTAAAAGTTACTGAATGTTAACACAACAGCAAGAATGTTGTAGAATTGGGCTATGTCTTTATTATTAGACACAAAAATGCTGATCAGCTCCTAAGCTTTTATATTTGTCCAAGCCATGTCCCAGCTTCATATAAAGGCAATATCCAAACATGATTTATTTTTCTTCCCTATGGAATCCAGCACACAGCCTGGATGAAGATTTCAAAACTCTCCTACAGACAACCTAAATGCAGCCTTCCAGAGCAGAGCTCAACTGTTTTCAACTAAACCAATGCAACTGGCCACTGACTTCAACATCCTACATACAGAGATACGGAGGAGCTAGTAATTTTTAAAAACCTGATTTATTTATCTACTATACTTGAGAATTGTCTCATTATCTGCAGTTGTCTGGTCTCATTTTTGAGTTCTACTAAACTCTCAGATACGCATGTATCTTTTAGCCATGTATTATTCAGGATAATTATTCATTGTGTAAAGTTCAGTCTTATTTATATACTCACATGCTTATTTCATATTCAACATACCTGGTCATTTGCTCTAGAAGGATTGGGAAATAGTCTTCATTTTCGTGCTCTTTGTAAAATTCACGTGTTTGTTCTTCAGATAAGATTATTTCTTTCTGCATTGCTATTTTGAAGCCATCATCCTTTATTCTCTGCATGATAGAATCTGTTTAAAATATTGAAATAATGCTAAGTTCCCATCCATTCATTAATTTGCACACTTGCGAAGAAATGACATGGGCTTTCCAATCAGAATGTTAAATTTTTACAGGTGAATTAATTTCTTAACTGAAGAATAGAAAATGAATTCAAAGCAACTGCTAGAGGGCTTCCGTAGTTGCCTAGACAGTCAGAAAGCTAGTGATGACCTTCAGGCTTTCTCTCACTTCAGACATATCAGTAGGAATTCCTGACTTAGAAATACGGTATGTGTATATCACCACAAGAAGGTCTAAGTATTTTGAATAGGTAAATATTCATTTGACTAAGCTTTACAAGACCACATGCATAAGTAAGTAGTGTTTGGTACAAGTCAAAATGACTCTATAGTTGCCTATATTTGGACTGCAAAACTGCTGCGCTAAGTAACATACTAGGTAATAATCAAGAAAATTGTCAAGGGGACATCAGAATTGTACCTTTCAGATCTCTGCATATAGGTTATTTCCAGTACAGAGATTCTCAAGTTAGAAACAAAGGTGCTATCTAGAATCTAGGAAAAAATGAAAATATGCAGCATAGAACATCCTGGATCAGGTCTTTTTCGCCTTGCCATTGATCTACCTTTTGCCTGCCATTCAAGGATAATATCAGCTGCTTCATTACAGCAGGAAGTAGGATCCTCTACACTACACTTTGAAATTACTAGCTTCTCTGTGAGGTCTTCTAAAAGAATTCCATCCAAAGGTACAATCCAAAGACATTCTTGAAAAATCAGGCAAAGAAACAAAGTAACATTGATGTTTACATTATCAATATATCAAAAACATTAACCATGTAACATTTTTCCTGACAAAGATTACTGTCAGCTTAATGCTGGGGAGACAATACAACCTAAGAACATTTCATTAGTAGAGTTTGAATTTTTAAAGTTCAAAATATGAGACTTTTTATATAGCCTAGATGGAAAATGTAGTTATTAGCACTTACTCCGTCTTTCCTTTAACAGACAAGGTCTAATTAAGGCCAAAGTCTTTTCAGCTTTTTGCTCTGTCTTGTTTTTATCAAAATTTGGGAAAAAGAAGGCAAGTTGCCTGCTGGCATCTTCTACACTGTCTTGCACATCACATATATTTAATATACTCTCAGTTTCCATGGTTCCTTCCAAACTAATGAGACACAAAGTAACAGTATTTAAGTCACTGCGTGCATCATGTTAACGGTTGACTTCTTGAAAATGTACTTTCTTAATGTTTAGTAAAAATTAAGATGCCAAACTAAATTTTTATTAAATTTTGATTCATGACTGAAGTAATGTTTCTAAGAGGAGAATTATTAATCTTCTCAAAAAGTGCCTTGTCATGTGCTATGAAAGAGAAATCTCAGCCATGCAGCTTTTCTAATTCCCTTCTAGCTTATTCAAAACAGTCTCTTTCACTAGACAGAATTACCACTGACAAGTGTACGGTGTATAATGAATGATCAGTAAAGGGATTCTCCTTAATTGATGTACAGCATGATCATAAAAACAATAGCACTACAGAATTGCCTTTAACAAAGATACTTCTAATTGTTACTAGCTGGTATTTCTAAGGTTTATTTAGCTAAGTAAATACAGTCACTCTTGGCCACTTACAGAAAACGCAACATTCCCCAGTTTTACTGAATTAATGCAGAAAGGGATATAACAGGCATCAACAAAAATATCAATTATTATGACAAGTTCTTTTTTGGAACAAAGTATTTAAATTCATGTTGCTTTAAGTAAATAAAAATAAAATAAATAAACAACTTGAGCAAATATTTGAATTTTTGTTAATACTTTCTTTATTGGCTGATGCTGTGTATACAACTATCATTCTCTTCAAAATTCTCTACAAATTTTTGGCATAGGAGACAACCAGACATTTCAAGATACTGTGACTGTGAACAGCTAATCCTTACATTGTTTTTATGCATCTTGGCTGGGGGGAAGCAAAACCCTCTGACTTGTTTTCTGACTTTTACAGAGCGGTCCCATGGAGCACACCATGCTTCAGGCGTCCCCTAGTCTCCCTTGGGCCACATCTACAGCTTCCCAGCATACACAGGAGTAAACATGGGCAAGAGTGTAACCCTCAGTGGGCAAAGCTGGCAGTTGCTTTGGGTGAACTAGTATGAAGTGGAATTGCATGGAGTACATCAGCTTTGATGTACGGCACTGTTCCCATTGGTCTGACAACCCATTCAAGGCTAGTTCAGAAACAGCGAGAGATCTGTGCCCTTTCCTTGTTGTCTTTACCTAGGAAGCAAGGAGTTTCTATGTTGCCCCAGGTACTGTGATTACATCTCTAATAATGGTCTTACGAAAGACCAGGTGAAGAAATCTGCCTGTTCCCTGGACCCTGTGCATACGAGAACGTGAGTGTCTGCAGGTATATGCCTTGGTTTATGGTGTGCTCTGAATACTGTAACCGAATCACATATACACATTTTCACTGTTAGTTACCTGTCTGGCTTCTCAGGCTCATCAGGCCCACTCTCACTCAATTTACGTAGTTCTTTCCAGTGAGGAATAGGATCAGTTGCTTCTTTTTTAGCGATTACCAAAACATGGCATGGTCCACTCATCATGAATTGAACAAAATCATCAAAATCAGGCTAAAAAACAGATTTTTTCCTCTATGAATTGCAGGAACTCTGATTTTATCATCAGAAATGAGACGACTGGCCTTTCCAAAGTAACTAATAATGCCTGTTCTAAAATGGCATTCACATACATTACTCAACCTGTCAAATTGTTTGGGGAGTTTTTTGATCAATCATTTGAGACACCACCACTATAAAATGTCTAAAACACAATTAATTAAGGTAAACTAAGTCATAAAATTACATTAAGCAAGTACCACATGTTCCTCCAGGTTAAAATGCAAATGATAAGAGTGAAGAAAATGATGTAGAAACTCGATGTGAGCAAATGCCATGCTTGCAGTAACACATATAGTGTGACATAAAAAAACTGCAATACAGTTCCGGGCTTAATTTTTGAAACTAAAAATCATGTAGCTGGCTGCAAATACAGAACACTAAGATATTTGCAAGACATTTGTAGGTTTTTCTTTCATTCTCTTTGTTATGTTCTTTTCACTCCTTCAGTTTATCTTTTCAATCCTATAAATGTACATTTTCATCAGAAAATAACTTTTGAAACTGTTCTGAGTTTTTCGTCTTTTTTTTCCTTGTATGTCACCTTTTTCTTTGGTATTGTGAATTTCCTCAAATATCTTCTCTCCTTTTAAATGTTTGACTAAGCCTTTTCTTTACCAGTCACCCTCATCTGACTGTGTATGATACACTTTTCCTGTAATAATATGAGGATGAAATGTTCATATGTGTGCTTTCAATTCATTACTTCTGTCTTTCAGTTTTCTTCATATCTATGCACAAACACATTTCACAAAATGAACAAAAGTGAAAGAGACAGAATGAATGCAAACGCAAAAACATGTAGTACAATGCACAGAGAGAATATACTGTTGTGGCTTCAAAAGTACACTTGCTCATGTTAAAAGAAATAGATGTGGCTATTAGATCTGTCTTTCCTTGCTCACACAGCTTCATCATTAAAAAGAAACAATTTCTGCTTCCAGCTATATCTGAAGGTCTGTTACCTTGAGTCTCCATATTAGGCAGCCTCTGGACCTTCAGCAAGCTTGCAGAGTATTAAATCAGGAACAATTTTGCCCACTGAGCACAAAGGAATCTATATTCCATATTGTCACTTTAACATAATTGTTTTTTCAGCTTAGAATTACAGTCAAAGAATGGCAAATAGTTGGCTTCTCAATATGCATAGCGCCCTCTGAACTGCTTCTGATAGTTCGTAGTAGTTTTGTTATTCTCCCTGCCCTAATGTTGGCTAGGATTTGCTGTGGCGTAGTAGTGCTGCCATATATCAAACGCTGTGTGCTTTATCCCTGTCTTTGTACCTCCCATGTCTCCCTCTACACCTAACTCATCTCAAATTTGGCTGCTGTTCCCATGAAGATAACTTATTTTTACCTCTATTTGCCAAGACCAGGCTTTTTCTGGTTCCTTACAAGCTCTCCCTGTTACCATAGTGTAGCCACCTGGTGATTACTACCAGATTTCTTTTTTCCCTCTGGCCCCAGTAGGAACCATCTTGTCTCACTCTCATTCATTTGGAATGCCACAGGAACACTTTCTCAGCTTCTACTTTGATTACGCCAACCCTTTCATTGATCCATGGGTCCCTCCAATAATATCAAACAAATTAGTTGTCTGCATGTAATTCCAGCCTCTGTCTAACTTATGCAGATCTTAAACAGGAGAAGGTATAATTATTTGCTAAGTAGCACCATTTTTGTCATTCAGATCCTTCTGTAGAGTTAACTTTAGTTATCACACTGGCAAAGCACTTGACAATATCCTGGTGCTAGTTTGCTAGAGCAGTACCATTTAATGGTGACCAACATTAATTTCATTGTTTTCTTGAACTAACTTTCTCTCCTTAGCTATTTATTGTCTCCTAAAATGGTATAGGGCCAGAAAGATGCATTGTCTTTCTGCCTGTGCACTTGTTTATTCCCAGTACTACCCCATGATAAAAGCTGTGAAGAAAAGATGTAATATATACAATCATTATTTTCTGGCTGGAAGAGTATGTGTCAAATAAATGCATACGGTCATATAGATGACACTGGATTTTGGTTTTCTGCTATATTTCAGTGCCTAACTTAGCCTATGTTTAGGGCCAGGATTAAGGGTCATACATATTCTGATAGCAGAAAGAACTACAAAATCTTTTGGTGTTTATTGGAGTTCTGTTTAATTTAGTTGGAAAGTTAGAGTGCTACCAAGCCATATCTGTATGAATTGACAAAAAAAAAAAAAAAGTGAGGTCATATTTCCTTTTTTTTCTGTGTACTAAATCTACATTAACTCTTTTCTTCAACATATTAAAAATTTACAAGCCAGAGATTTGCAAACCCATGTAGCTACAATTATATGCTTTGCCTGTTCCTTTTGTGTAGGATTTTAGTCTGTTTTTACCTGCTCTTTATTCCGGGCGTAGAACGCTCTGATTTGCTCTTCAGTTAGCATTTTCTCTTCTTCTGCTTCAATGCCAAATCCTGCATTTCTAATCTGCAATTATTCATTTATTACTCAATGACACTTGAAAATGGATATACGCAAAATATTACATTATTATTCCAGTTTTGTAAGCTGTCTTAAGTTTAAAATTCTCTGAAATACTCCAAATATAACTTACATGTTTGCCTAAACTAACGTTCCAGGTTTTCAAAGCACTTCACTAAATTGAAGATTACAATGCCCACTAAGTTAATGTTTGTGAAAAATATAGTGCAGTTCAATGTATGTATTCAGTAGTTAGTAATCCCTTTTATTTCACATTGAATAAATTTGTTTTAACCATTGTGAGTGATTAACATGCAACCACTTCTAAAAATGATGTTATAAACTATATTATATACATAGCAGTCAAATAAATGTGTATTCATCAACAATTGTTGTATTAGGCTAAACTACTTGGCTTTAGAAACAGCAAATAAACAACAATAAAATCTATTTTATTATTATCTATTTTAAATTACATCAGTGCACACAATTCAAGTACGTGTAATAGATACACACTTACATGACCTATATAAAAATTCACAGTCCACTGGTATGAGGTTTATACCATATACTGATGTTTAAACAACAAAGGCGCTACCCAGCCCCAGTGCTGATCATACGCCGATATTAATCAGTTCACTGCTCTTTAAAAGCCCCTGTGATGCTGCTGAGTGTTTCCAGACTGCCTTGACAAGGCTGAGTGTGGAAACAGTATGGGTACACACCTCATAAGGCAGTACAAAGGCAGAGCCAACTAGCAGCTGCTCAGCTCCAGCTAAATTGCTTTCAAGCACTGCCTGCTTTTTTTTTTCACATTTATTGAACCTCCTTCCTTTCTGGCCAAGGTAGAGTAATTGCAGAAATGACCTGTACAACACTCTGACTTTCTTTCCTGCCAAGGTCACTGGCCCTGTCATAACACTTCTTAAAATTAGCATAATTTATCTTAATGTATAGTGTTATAAGACTTCTTTTTTTTTTTGTAAGAGAAACAGTGAGAAATTCATGTAATTGAAATGAGCATTCCTATAGTATCATATTCTAGAAGGCAAAAGAATTTTTCTTTCACTGTCTGACGGCTCAAACAAATACTGGACCCTTGGATGCACCCTTGCGTACTTGCTGGAATCACATTTTTCACTGCAGGAATAAATATTTCACTACTGAAAAATATTAGTGTACAATCTCCGATTACTAGTGCACGTGAATTAACCTCACCATCCACACACATATACCGTCATATGCGCCTGCGCACACACTTCCACAAGGAATTCGTTAGTTGATTTATGTGTGCCTACAGTTCTTAAAGATGTTGTGTGAAGAATTAACTTCACCACCACAGTTTCTACTTCTCCCTTTTATTGCAATGTGAGGAAAAAAAGACACTTTTCCATTCGTAGATTTCACGTGTCACTGATCAACACAGCATGAATCATTGTCATACCTCACCTAGTGACATAAAATATTGAAGCAATAGTGCCAATCTGAATACCATATTATTTCAGGTCAAAATTATCTTGCTTTTATCATCCTTATCAGAGAAACATTAATAGATTTTGTTCTAAACCCTGGGCATAAATTAGGATCTATTTAATCTTGCATCTTGCTACTATGCCTCAGCTAAATAGGATGAATGCATCTTGAAATTTGGTCTACCTTTTGTTTAATTTCTTCTACGCGTCCCTGTAAGACATCATCAGGTTTTATAATTCCAACAGAATATCTGACTACTTCTTCTGAGCAAGAGAAAAAAAAAGTGTCAAGGAATACATTTATCAACATAAATGGACAAGTAAATTTTCTGTTACTTACAGGTGGGTTTCTCTAAATACTTCTCCATTTTAATATTGAGATGGCCAAACAGTGGTTCCAAAACATAAGTCACTCCAGCACTTAAAGTATGTCTTGGAGTGTGGGACCATCCTTGGCCATCCCTGGAATCCACATTCCTGATGAACCACTGGTATTTTGGGTCGTATGGTGGAGAAATGGTTCACTTGGAGCTAGGTGTGGTAGAAAAACTACAATTTAGGATTACAATTTGTCTAGAGAGCTCTGCATGTACAAGACTAGAAATATGAAAGGAATGGATATTACTAGATAAAATTCACTAGGTGAAAATTCACATGAATACTGGGGATTTCCAGTAAAATATACATCTGTTGTAGATGTTTTTTTCCTTAACATTGTAGAAGCTGAAGTAATTTACAATAATTGTTGAAGTAACACAGGCTTGCCAGCACAATCTAATGTTTAAAACAAGAGGTGTTCCTGGTTGTAGACATACAGTTACAATATTCATAGCATACAGATCCTTGCAAAATGACAGAAAGTGGTCAGAAAGAGAATAGAGAATATATCTTTCTTTGCAGAATCGAAGGTTTACAATTAAGCATTAGCATGTAATTCAATCAGATCCCAAACACTGTAGAGACCTTGATAGCTCTAATGGAAACACCATACTACTACTTGTTTCCAGTACTAGAAAACACTCATAGGCACCCGCATGCAGTAAGGAATGTATTAACACAAAGTGTTAGGGTGTTATGGTTTCTGAGGGATCCCTTAACCTGAAGCTGAACCCAAGCTGAAAACTCTGTTCCCTGATTTTGTCACACATTTACGTTCTGTGGATTAGTGCAAAGTCTATACATAATTGCTAAAGGATTTATAATACTGTACTACTAGGTCTCAGAGTGCTTAAAGACGAGGTCAAGAACATGTCACTTGAACCATACAACAAAGAAGACATGAAGAGGAAGGAGAATGGAGACAACTTAATCTGTGACATTGATCAGAGGGAAAAAAAAGCCAAGCTAATGAAGAAGGAAGGAGAGCATGGAGGAGTTTATTCCATCTGAACATTGCTAAATGACAATCTGTGCATATATGAAGCAGTAGAAAGCTTCAGTAGCCACAGATAACAATAAGAATAGAAAAGATGTTGGTCCCAGCTCATGACAAGCCTGAAATAAATTGTTCACATGAGACTCACAGGCAGGATGGTGCATATTTTTCAATATTTTTGGAACCTTATCCTGCTATTGTGGATTTATGCTCTTATGTAAGACTGTTCTTTAGTGCTTAAATATGGTCTGGTGAATGAGTTAATAATCTGAAATACAAGGCATGCCATTCCTTCACAGATTAACTCTTCCAGTCTTTACAGGTTGCCCCCATCTCGGTGCTTCTGTAGAACACCCAAGGGTTAACAAGCACCATCTCAACAAGGTACATAGCTAACACAGGGACTGCGTAGAAGTTAATTTCAGGTACTAGTTTTACACAGGAAAATTCCTGGCATGTGGTGCTGCTTCTATGTGCCAGGGACCTGAATTGTGAAGCTTTCCAAAGGGGGGTTGAAAACACTAATGATGACAGTCCAATATCTTAATTCCTTACAGAAGAAAGCTTCCCATCAGTTTGATATCCTCAATCATAACTTCTCATGCTATTAACTCAAAGGAATGTCTATTGGTGCTGGACATACACAATTCTTAATCAAATAACTAAAAAGACATTTGTTCTTTTTCTTTCCACTAACATTTCTAAAATAAACAAAATACATTTACCTTCTGGTACATTCTCCTCAATAGTCTCTTCTGATGATTTCTCTTCTAGGAAAACAAGTTCTTCTACCTAAAGTAATTGTAAATACAGTAGAAATACATCAACAGTGTGAAGCTAAAGTCACCAAACCACTGTCAGAACTTTACAACACTTTTATCTTAATGTAATAACATATTTTCTACCCAGGAAAGTGAGCAATTCTAAGAAAGACCTCGGGCTGATATTTTTTAACTGAGCTACAGTTTGTTAAAAGTTTCCTTTTACTGAAAGTGGAGTTCTTTGATCTCCATTTTCACTCAAAACAAACAATGAGACAGGACTACTTCCCAAGTCTTTATTTGTTTTGTATGATGCATTCTGACTGTTATATATGACAAACACTCAGTCCTGAAAGAAAAAAGATGACTAAAACCTTTATGTGCTAGTGACATTACATCCATCTCTCAATTTCTTGCATTAATATGCTAATCCATAAATTTCTTCAGTTTTTATAAAGTACCATTTAATGGAAATTTCTTTAAAACCTCCCTCACATATGGCACTATACTGTCAAGAAAAACATACAAAAATTTAAACATTACATTATGGAAAACATTATCACAGGCATTGAGAGAAACAATTTAAGTATAATAAAAAAACTAATTTATATTTAAATATATGTTTTCTGAGTACCTCAGAGCGTTCCTTCTGTCCAGCTGCAATTTTCCTCTCTTCTTGCACTAGCTCGGTTATTTTCTTACTTATAAGAGGAGCATTTACACCTCTCACTATTGCAATAATTTTGCCATTCTGTAAAAGAGAAAATAACACTCTTGGTGAGTTTTCATTGCTTAGTTTGCCTGAGTCTTGGAACATGCTGTATGTTGCTATTTTTTCCAGAAACAGGACAACTCCCCAGGCCCACTGAAGTGAACACCAAATCTACTACTGCCTTTACTAGTTTAGAATGAACCTTTCTTGCTTTTACTTCCTCCCTTCCTTCTCTATCTAATTTTCCATGTTTATTTCTAGGCTCACCATTAATATGACAGTCAGAAGTAAATGCAAATATGGAATTTAATAGCTCTTAATTTCTGTAACGTGGAGTTTTCTATCTTTTTATTTGCGTTATGTTTCAGTGTGCGCTCTATCACGTTCAGGAGCACCACAGTGAAGCTAATTTCTGGTGATCAAAGATACTGCTAACTTCACTTGGCAGCATTCAGATCCAAACCCAAGTGTCCTGAAAGTATCATTGTTCTTGGCCTCTAGTTGTGGGAATTCAAAGCCTACCACCCTGAAGTCAAAAAACCCACAGCCTCATAAGTGCGCAGTGTTCTACAGTGGAGTCCTAGGAGAACATTCTTTCTGTATTCATCAGTGAGATCAATTGTTACAATTTCTAAGGTGTGAGAAATACAGTTTTATTTGTTTATCTTAAAAACCTTAAAGTGGCAGGAAATGTAAACTTTTTCCCTCAGGGAAAGTGTGCATAAAATAATCACAGAATCACAGAATAGTCAGGGTTGGAAGGGACCTCTGGAGATCATCTAGTCCAACCCCCCTGCCCGAGCAGGGCCACCTACAGCAGGTTGCACAGGACGGCATCCAGGCGGGTTTTGAATGTCTCCAGAGTGGGAGACTCCACAACCTCTCTGGGCAGCCTGTGCCGGTGGTCTGCCGCCCTCAAAGTAAAGAAGTTCTGCCTCATGTTTAGATGGAACTTCCTATGTTCAAGTTTGTGCCCATTACCTCTTGCCTTTATTCACTGGGCACCACTGAAAAAAAGACTGTTCCCATCCCCCTGGCACCCTCCCTTTAAGTATTTATAAGCATTGATAAGATCCCCCCTAAGTCTTCTTTTCTCTGGACTAAACAGACCCAAGTCCCTCAGCCTTTCCTTGTAAGAAAGATGCTCCAATCCCCTAATCATCTTTGTAGCCCTTTGCTGGACCCTCTCCAGCAGATCCCTGTCCTTCTTGAACCAGGAGCCCAGAACTGGACACAATACTCCATATGTGGCCCCACCAGGGCAGAGTAGAGGGGGAGGATAACCTCCCTCGACCTCCTGGCCACACATAATTTCAGTGTAGCCAAATGCAGACACTTTATGGATGCAACCCTGGATAACTGACATGAATTTCTCACTAAGTAACTTCCAAAACTGTGGCTACCACAAATCTTCTGTGACTGTATGTACAGCAGCCACAACAAAAATGTGCTCAAGAACGACAGATTTAGGCACAGGAAACAGCCTCTGATGATATGATCCTACATACTGTAAAGTGTAAAGATATGATTTATACAGCTTCACGTTTCTTTTCAATCTACTGAAAAATGAAGGCAAAAGTAGGCGGCACATTAAAAGAAACTGATGTGATGTACTTACAACACAAAAAAGAAACACAGGTTCACATTTATTCCTAAATGGTTGCAGAGCCGGAATGCTGTCAGCCTCTGCCTAAAGTCAGATGAAAAATATTATTTACTTATGTAAGTGTGTATATGTATGCATCTATCTATCTATCTATCTAAAAAAATCTTTTTGTCTGCATGAAAACTGCAGTCTTACGTACTTTGATGTTACACACTCAAACTGCCATCTTAAATACAACTAGCAGTCCTTATGGCACTTGCTGGTGATGAACAAAGAACTGGTTTGGTAACATGGGATTGGTCTCCCTTCGTATTACAACAGCTGATCATGGAAACACACTTTACCCTGATACTGTTATAATAACATACATAAATGAGGAAGCAGTCCATGTAGTCTTGACGGAAGAGATTATCCTCTGTATGAAGTTCCTTGTGACATGTGGTCAACTCTATGAAAGTACTTGAGATGATCTCTGAACATAGCTGCCTACTTTTTGTGTATACAAAATACATGTATTTTCTGCAAAAATGCTTTGATCAAGTAATTAAAAGTTTTCAGTAACATGAAAAAGGATGAGTTTGGTCAGCATCTGGGAGGAACTGAATCTGTGAAACGAATTTATCTACTTTAAATTTTATATACCTCCTATTTTATACTGATAGTGTAGAAGAATATTTTTATTACTATAGTTTTGTGATAATTTACTTTTCAATTCCCCCCTTTAGTTCTCTTTAAAATGAAATACAGTGGAATATTTGGGAAAAAGGTGTACCAGCATTTTTCAGAGATGTAAGAATTTTAAATGTGATAGTCAATAATGTACAGGCTTAAAACTAAAAATCATATAGGATTCCTCATCAAGGAAAACAAAAGTTGTGGGATATCAGCTCCCATTCTGTTGTAGCTCCTTCCATATTTATTACCATTTCTAATCTACCTCTAAACAAAGTCTTATGAAGACATATGCAGAAGAGGCAACCAGGCCAAAATTATGATGGTTTGGTGTAAGGACAGTAAAATGAAAGCACTGTATATGCAGACAGACAAAAAGATATATTTAAAATAAAATGTAAATAAAGTTCCATAAGGAATTTACATCCTTACCACTGCAAAATGCAACACATCATCTTCACCAAAATCATTCTTCAGTTTTCTGAATAAATTCAACACAGCTTTGCAAGGACCGCACCAAGCTTGATACACGTCTATTACTAAAATATAATAGTTTGGAATTACAAACAGCTGACCTGTGGAACTTATAAATTGAGACATATATATGAGTGTATTGGAACAGCACTGGGAAGGTGTGCATATGCATCTTTCAGTCCTCTCCTAGTCAATTAATGCATCATGAATACATCGATGTTATTCAGTGGATACATCACAGTTTCCTCTTTTATTTCAATTACTTTTGACGTCACAATCTACTTCACAATGCCATTTGAGATGATAATGCAAACAGCTACATTTCTGTCATACTCCTTTGTCTTTTAATTGTTCTTTTTCTTTTCCCACTGGTGGTTTTCATTCTTATCTAGATCTTTATTCTACAGAATTTTTACCTCAGTAAGCCCATGCCCATCATTTCTTTCCTATTACTACTCCTCTGTTGATACAATCCCATTACAGATTTGTTCCTTCTACCCAAATACAATTCCTAGGAGACCTAGGAGACACTGTCATTGGACTGAGCAAACTCAAAACTGGGGATAATGTACATCATAGAATGTGCACTCTCAAGAATGCTGACCTATTAATTGCTAAGTACAACTGTACAGTATTAATTTAGTTTGTATAAGATTTTAGGGAAAAACTTCCACAGAAATGTCCTACCTCCTACCATACAGAATACCGAATTGGAAAGGTATATTTTTTAAGCATAAGTCTGTAGCACTGCATAAAATAATGGATAATATGATTTGCAACAAGTATTTATTTATCAGAGAAGACAGTATGTATTCCTAAACACAGTATATACACTTATAAATATATTAATATAACCTTTCTTTAAAAGATAATTTGGCACCAGTCTTCTAGATTTATGACAGGTATCTATTAAAGATGATATGATATATAAGTATGAAAAACTGTAAATGACTTAATGAGAGATTAAACAGAAAATAGAAACACTTAGTACCTACTACACCTTTTATCAGCAACATTTCATCCCATTGGTTTTCATCAGTTATTACAGCCTGAAATAAAACGAACTGACATTTTAACATCTTAAAAAGGCAGAAAAAGATCTATTCATCTCTAGGATTGTTCAAGTAATCGGGATTTATACCTGGAGCTGGGTTTCTTTCTTCTTGCCTGCCATTTCCCTGTGATTATAGGAAAAATGTCAAAATACGAAGTACATTTAACAGTTTTTTAAAAGACCATGTGACATGCAGAACTGATTTATAGGGTTTTCAACATAGCACTGCCTTCTGACCCCCTTAAAAATTAACTCAACTGAAGCCCCTACAACAATGGCACTTAACAACCCACGTCAGAGTTCCGTGGAACAATTTGCAAAACCCACATAGCACAGGAAACAGAATAAAATTTAGTTTCTTAATCTCTTAGGGTCTTCAAAATTTTTTTGGCCTCAACAATTTTTCAGACTTATAATTAATCTGTTCAGAATGGCCACAGGGACCTTGGGTGGAATGACAGCCGCTGTAACAGTGGACCATTTCAAAAAAATATTGATTAGAGAACTTCAACTTGAATGACATCAAATCAGCCTTCCTATCTTCTGGGATACATGAAAAGCAATTGCTTACATGTGTCTCATAACTAAACTCCCAAACTGAATATCGATGCATTCATCATCCTGTCATTAATGAAAATGTCCTTCATATTTTTTTTATTTCTTTTCATTTTTTTTTTTAAATAGATAATTAACTATGAACTAGGCAGGAAAACTATCTCAGTTAAGTCACATACGTGGATGAAGTTTGACTTCAGCTTCCAAATGGAACTTGACCAAACAACAAATGTTATCACTGCATCAGCAGCTTGAGTGGAGGTTTCTCAAGTTCTCAGTTAAAATGATAGTCTTTGTCCTGGGGAAAATGAAAGGGCAACTATGAATGTGACCTCCACTGGCACTGATATCTGACAAGTCAAAGGGCAAATATTTCCAGAGTTTGAACTATCCTGGTATTCCCACTGGAGCTTCTCCCTTCAGATCACAGATTGAGGTGTAGTGGCCAATGTGAGAATTCTTGCCCTGATGCTCATTTCACATTTCATCTACAAATATTGTTAAGGATTAAAAGTTTATATGCAGGCTTTCATCAAACCATTTAAATCAGGTAGTGAGACAGAGTCATTAACATGGCATTCATTTCAGTCCTTTAAAGACTGAGGAGATGATGCTAACTGTTGAAACTATAGGAAACTGACAGATGAAAATATGCCATGTAAGTAGCAAATCAAACAAAAATTCAACAAAACAGCATGTCTGTCATTGTTACCTACTGTCGCTGAACAATAACAATCAATGCATTGCAAGACTGGATCTACAAAACATATACCACATATGTGACAATGGGCTATAGTTCCCAATCAGCCTACACACGCTTCCCATTTATAATTGTGCAGTCATACATTCTCAGATGCCAAACAAAAGCACTGCAGAACAGATACATACTATTGTATGTAAATATACAAATATCCATATTAATTTAGCATAGTAGCTGTATGATACAAACATGTGAGGATACATGTGACATATTTTTTAATAAAATTTTCACATAACACATTGTCTCAGTAATGCAGTCAGTATTATACGGATAAAACACGAACAGACAAGCACACTTTCTCTGTTTTCTACGATACAGGCAACATGCTTCTCTAACCTTGATAAAAGGCATTTTGCTCTCCACACGTCATCAAGGATGTGCAAACGCTACACCTCTTACCACACACTTTACAGCCAAAACTGCTTCCTCTGACTACTCACATATAAAAATAGACCTGGGTGCACGCTCAGAGACACTGTCAAACTGGCAGTCATATATGCACATTCTTTGCAGACAGACATTCAATATCTTAGCACAAATCTTCGTATACATATAGACATGAGAATATCCAAGCGCTTGTGAGATTTTGACATGCCCCTGTGTATAAATACATACATATAGACACATGCATAGTTCCCAGTGCATAAGCACTTGTGTATGCCAGCGGGCCCCTGCGTGCTCCTAGGCAGCACTCTGGTGGACCATCTGCTCCCTACCTTTGAATTCTATGAAACGCGACAAAATGCGAAAAATCATGGATGGAAAACACTCAGTGAGGTGCACTACACGTCAGCTTGCACGCACATGCATGCCTGCATGCTTCCACAAGCACACGTGGAGACTCACACCCTTCTGCAGGCCCCCAAGGGTGTTCGCACCCACCCCCGTTACAAAGGTGCATGCTCCTCTGCGCAGGCCCCCTCCATGAGCACGCCTGGGTGTGCACGCAGGCAGGCACGCACACACCAACACACACACAAACATGGATAAGTGAACAAATATGTGGATGCACGCCAGCTCAGGGGCCACCGGTTCCCGTAACCAGGAGGCTCAGATGCTCGGGCACCCAGTGGTTCAACACACCCCCTCCACGACAAGCTCGCTGTCGCGCAATGGCCTGCTCACCCCTGAGGCCGGGGGCCCACTCGGCAGCAGACAGGCACCCCCAGCCCCACGCCAGCCTGCACACCTTGCCCCCTGCCCTGGACCGGCCGCTCGCCTGGGGATGCCCTGTGGCTGCCCAACCGTCACCCCCCCCACAGCCCCTCACCCCCCGGGCCGTTATCCCCCTCCTCAGCCCCCCTCACTGCTCAGTCTCCAAGGGCCTGTTCTCCCCCGCGTCCTGGTTTGAGCGTCACACGACTAATTTCTCTTTCAGTAATTTTACTTTTCAGTAAGGTGTCTTCTAATGCCTGGGAAAACTGTATTTTTAGAAAACTCTGGTGTCTGAATTTGTGAAAATATTTACTTTATAGCCAGCTATGGAGTGTGGGTTTCAAGGTCTCAGTGTTTTCGAGCTCACCAGGTGCAGGGATGAGGAGGATCGAGTCCCAGGCACTTGACCCAAGCTGGCCAACGGGATTATTTCATACCATAAACGTCATATTCTATATAAATCGGAAAGTTTGCTGCAAAGTGCTCTCTCTCCCTTGATGGCTGCCATCCTGGGAACTTCTTGCCCCGGTGCCAGACCCCTGAGTCCTTCCCTTCCTCCAGAAGCTGTAGTGCTCACAGTGTCCAACATTTGCTGTCCATTGCTGGGAGTGCACAGCTTCCTACTGATAGAATTGGCTGAGTATAATCCTTGTAGATTTTATATTGGCATTGGGATCAATACCGGTTCTTTAGTTTTAATAATGTTAATTATCTAGTCTTATTCCATTAAATCTGTTTCTCTTTCAACCCTTGGGTTTCCTTGTTTTTCCTGATTCCCCCTCCCAGGTGGGGAGGGGTCACCATGTGATAGAATAATTGTCTAAATGACAATAAATTGTTGTGGATTCTTCAAACCATGTCACCCCCGTCACCCTCTTTTTCCAGTCTAGGGCTGACATCAAATGGGGAGCCAATCTGCGGGGAGTGGGGAGGGAGCTGGGGGGAGCAGAGGTAGGAGGCAGCAGTGCCATTTCCTGCACCATTTCTCCTCTGTTTCTCTCCCTCCTGGGCAGAATCCAACCTTAGACTTTAAAATGTGAAAAAATTAGTCTTGGAGCCAAATTAGCATGCTGCCTTCACTCTGTGTAACTTGCAAATTGTGAGACAATGTGGAATAAAAGAGGAAATTTTTTGTGGAAGTCACTGTGACCAGAGGAAGGTCTTGAAAGACAAATAGCAGTGTCCACTCATGCTCACCTGCTATGAAGGCAGGTCTGCCACCACACTCATTCAACGTTTCATTTTTCAGACGTGAGGTTGCATCTCAGCAGCCCCAAAAATTCACAGAAGATAAAGGCAAAGTTCATTTATTCAGGTAGAAATCAGAATTGGTCTCGAGTACAGTATGGCTATTTTCATATATACATAAACTCTTAAATGCATCCCAGCTGGTGAGAAATTCTTTGTGGAGGTTTAGGTTTAAGGATGATCACAGGTCAAATGTAGGTCTCTAAACTGTTCACATTTCACATACGCGTGTTGCTCCTGATTTATAAATCGTCTGTGCTTCCAATTTACTTCTAAAGCCCTGCCCAGGCATACTAAGTGCTGTTATATGTATTTACTGCATCTTAAGAAAATCTAGTTTCACTGACCTTTTTGTCACTTTTCTTAAGGTTTCTGGGACTGCTCACCAAAGCATGACTTGCTAAACTCCTAGTGAAGAGTTAATTTTATTTCCTGAAACTAATATGAAGAAAAAAGTAGGGTAACAGCACTTAAAGGAGCTAGAATAGATGTTCTTTCTCACTGTTAAATCATCCCACGTTGACAGATGTTTGTTCTGCAGCAATGTGAATGAGGCAACATTTCCACAGATCCTCAGAAGTTTCCAATGCTGAGACTGTGCTATGCCCTAACAGTTTGGATTAGATCGATTAGGTGGCAAAACAGACTTTGCATTCAGATCAGAAATAATGCATTTATATAGCCAACACTAAATCACTTCCTACATTTTTTTACTGGAAAACTCTAGCTTTACAACTAGTATAAACTCTGCATTGGCCTGACTGGAAGTGGAGGAGTGCCCTTGAATAATCTAATAATCTTTATTTTCCTGCATGAAGTAGAAAAACAACTTTCGAAACCTTAATAGGCTTACAAAACTAGAAAGAACTACAAAAGATGAGATACTTAATGCACTGGCCATGTGAAAGTTAAAGCCCCAAAACATAGGGTATGTTTTTGGGGTTTCCTTCTCAAACTGCTAGCTTCTTTATCCAGATCATTTTCTTCATGAACATCCACATTTTACATATTAGAAAAAAAAAAATCTAGAAGAGAAACACTAGAATGAGGTAATGCTATGTACCAAATGTTAAAAGGCTGATGCAGCCTGTTCTTTAACCACTCTGCTACAATGGATTGTATGTATGTTTTGGATATCACAAAATATTTTATATAAAGGGATCTCATTCATAAACTTGGTATTTTAAGTTATTGGACCTAAAAGAAGAGGTTGATTTTCATTTGCAAAATTACAAGCAAATAGTAAATGAAAACAGTAGTTGTGCCATCTGCTACTCAGCAGCTGAACCTCTTCTTCATGGGCCTCATGCTGTGCCTCCCTCACTTTTTTTTTTTCTCCTGATCATTAACATTTCAGTGAGGAATTAGGTCTACATGTTGCCATCTAGTAATTGTTGGGTGA